AATGATAGATGAAAAAGAACCAAATTGTCCAAAGATACAAACTCCGTTAGGAGCAAAAATAGTAAACAAAAAAATGCAAAACACAAAAAGTAAGGATATCAAAGACAATAAGGCCACTAATGGGGAGTTACAAATGCCACCCAATTCATACAAAGCATACTAGGAGAGTAATTGGAGAAGAGATTGGAGAAAACACACGAGTGAGAAGCTTTGAATTTGGCTATGGCAAAACATTCTAAAGTAAACTTCTTATTCCATTCTAATTTTTATTTCACAAGAAGCCAACTAATGAACTAAGATGAAGTGTTACCAAGGCAAGAACGCAGGTGGTTCCATCAATAGATGGAGCAAAAAGGCTAGCAAAGACAAATCAATGAGATCCATAAGGTGAAAATTCTTTAATTACTCGATAAAATTGCTTGCTCAGTTGATCTTTTAACATGCTCCTCGTACAATTTKTTAAAGGACACGAACTTTTCATTGATATTACGAACTGGTGCAAGCAAAATTTCAAAGGTCCAGTGGTGTTGATTTCCATTATTGAGTTTCCTGTTTAGCTTCCACAAAGGGTTGATTTGTTGGCCATTTTCCAAGCTCCTTAGTGTCCCTGGTGACGTCTTCTCTCCTTTCTTGGTTGTATTTTTGTTTAGTCAGATACCTTTAAGGTTTTTGTGTGGTCCTCGCTATGTTTATTGGTTGGGTTTTGAGTGTTTTGTAATTTTTGGTTTTTGGTTGGGCTGTTTTTTYTTATATGAAACAAAACTTTCATTCAGAAAAATGAAAAAGATACAAAATACACCAAAAGGCCTAAAAGGGGCATACAAAAAGACAGCCCAGCAGGAGGAAGCCCCCTAAAGAAAAGGACTCCAATCCAAAAGAATAAGGCCAAGCGAATAATTACAAAAGAGATGAGAAATCGAGCCCCATAACGAAGTATAAAACCTAACAATGTCCCAAACATAGTCCACAGACTTATTCACCCCCCTAAACGCTSTATGATTCTTCTCCAGCCAAATACCCCATAACATAGCTAGAAAGCAAGTCTGCCACAAAAAACGACCCTGGCATGGACCTCCTCCATCATAGCCCTACAATCCCTGGCATGGACCTAGGAAATCCCGAAGCACAAAAAGAAACGATGCCAAAGTTCCTGAGCAAACTGACAAGTCCACAGTATATGATCAAGGTCCTCCGACGCACTCTTACAGAGAACACACCACTGCGGACCCAAGCAAAAACTCGACATCCTCTGAATACGATCCAAGGTATTAACTTTCCCAAGAAGGACCTGCCACCCGAAGAACTTGATCTTCTTAGAAACTTTAATCTTCCACGGAGAGGTGACTTCTATGTTATTTTTCATTTTATCAATGAAAAAAAATTCATTTCCTTTGTCAAAAATTTATTTCCAAAGCTACAAATATCTAGCCATATCTTTTCCCCCAGAAGAAATGTATTTTTTTTCTTAGGGAAAAGAAAAGAAACAAGCACTTCCATTGAAAGATTGAAAAGTATTGAAGAACCAAGGAGCTACATAAAAGCTTTCCAATATGTTTGTAAGTCAATAAAGGAGTAATTTCAAAAAGATTTTTGACATAATAGCCCACAAAGACATAAAATAAACAATGTTGTCCCATATATGGTTGGGCCTTTCAAAGTTGGATGAGACGCAATTGGTTCTTTCCATCCGAATGTTGTGCCTGCAAGAAGCCAAGTTCCTGCATTTGGCGAGGGAAAGGCTGTCTGCAAAAGATCTGGTGCAAGGCTCTGAAATCTGAAATATATTGGTTTTTGCAAGGACAAACAAGGTGTCCTTAGGTGGCTATGGCTATGGGGTTGGTAAAATGAGAGAGGTCCTTGTGGCATTTTGTGATCATGTCCCAAGTATGGGCTCGACATGGATGGCTGGTCACCTGGTCCATTTGGAGTTGTATCTCATATTCCTTGTGTAATGATGATCATGGATTGAGATGCTTGTGAGCTCGATGGGAGAGCCTCTTTTTTTTTCCCCCTTTTTTTTGGGTAAGAAACCTGAGATTAGAATTAATAAAAAAAAAAAAGAACGAAACAACCTGAGGGCAGGGGAAGCGATAACCCCCAAGAGAACTAACACATAAAGACCTTCCAAGATTAAAGGATCATGGTAGGAGAGTAATTATAAAAGAATCAATTGTATCTGTGGCTCCACCAGAGCCAAGAAGCAATAAAGTGTACATTATTCAAAAAAATAAATAAATCAGTAGATTTATCATCAAAAGATCTGTGATTCCTCTCCCGCCAAAAACCCCACAGCAAAGCCCTAGTCGCATATCTCCACAATATTCAAGCTTTATTTTTAAGCTTGAGGTGCTTCTACAACTCAATCATCCGTCTGCCTCAGCAAACATGCAGACAAGCCAAACTCCTTTTGAAGGAGAGCCCAACACCTCAAAGCAAAAGGGCAATGAAGAAATAAATGATCTAAGGTTTCACCTGGCATAAATTGCATACTCAAGGAAAAAGCACCAACCTTCCTCCTTTGAACATAAATAGTCCTTTTCCCATCTTTGAACTTTGTCACTAATATCCTCTATCATAGAACCAAAAAAATCCTTCTCCTTTGATCACCCCCAAGTGGCAGGTCAACATTGTGAAGAAGTCCACAATCAAAGTGGGTACTTGTTCTTGATGGTTAGGTTACCTTGTTAATAGGTCAAGAACCATGGTCCTAATAGCATTGTCTTAAGAAGCACAGGCATGGGCATGGGACAAGGATACGACATGACATGGACATGGCAACACATTAATTTCTACACATGTTGGGGCCGATTTTCGGCAGGTCAACATTGTGAAGAAGTCCACAATCAAAGTGGGTACTTGTTCTTGATGGTTAGGTTACCTTGTTAATAGGTCAAGAACCATGGTCCTAATAGCATTGTCTTAAGAAGCACAGGCATGGGCATGGGACAAGGATACGACATGACATGGACATGGCAACACATTAATTTATACACATGTTGGGGCCGATTTTCTTCTTTTAAAAATATTCATGTGTGTGTGGTATGTGTGTATATACATATCTACATACATACATATATATATATATACACACGCATTTCTAATACCTGAGAAAGTGATTTCTGTGTACCTATATATCTATCTAAATACATTAAATCTTAAGATAATATTCGAGTTTTAGAAGCTGTTTCCAAAAGTTTAAAAGCTTCACTACCTTCACAATGCAGCATCTTTCGACACAATAACTACAGCCAATAGCAGCTCCCCAAGCTCGAGATCGAACATTATTTCGTAGAGTAGAAATGTAACCTAACACAAAATTAAATAGAACATTATAAAAAGATATGAACAAATAGAAAGAACTAATATTTTTAACAAAATAAATAAGGAATGAGTAAGCTACTAAAGTTCTGATGTTGTTTTAAAATATAATATTGGTATTTAAAATTTTAAAAGAGAAAGCATTTATTTTTTAAAATGTGAGTATTTATTAAAGTATTGACAAATGATTAAATTTGTCACAGCTCATCAATTTAAGCTTTTGGGCTCACCGGTGATTTAACACAGTATTAGGGTAGAAGTCCTGTGTTCGAACGCCTATAATGTCATTTATTCTTCAATTAATATTGACAAACTTCGTTGAATCTTGTGCAAATTTCTAAGCCCACAAGTGAAGGGAGTGTTAAAGTATTGGTAAATGATTAAATTTATAGTAATCGATCAGCTTAAACTTTTAGTGTGAAAGGTGGTTTAATATTACTTCACTGATAGTCTGAAATAGTACAAAACAAGGAAAAGTTATACATAAGCCAGGTAAGATTACCAAAAAACTCACCCGTATGACCAAAAGTTGATTAAGACTAAGAATTGAAAGAACAACAGAATTTACGCTATGTGAGTGCAGAAAATAAAATAGAATCCCAAAAATCATTAAAAAAAAAAAGAGAGAGACAGAGAGAGAAAGAGAAACTTATATATGCTTTTATATGAGTTAACAATTATCTGACGAGTGAAGTTTATTTATCTCTTTGATTTGCCACTTTCTGTAATTACAGATAATTTCTTGTTATTTTCTTGGAGACCTGCATCTCAATTTGGCTTGTACTTTATATGGTGTATTTGTACATCTACTCCTCTTGGCCGTTTTATCAGCATAGAAAGGGTATTTGAGGGACTTAATTTATGATAGCAACCAGGTTTTTTCCTTTTTCCATTTTTTGATTTATGTTCTATGCCAATAGATAGAAGGTACAAATGCACTTGATGCATGGAGATATGCATCCATAACCAAAATTATCAATAGTAACAGAAACATCAATTATTCTGACCAACCAAGCCATAATCAAAAAGACTTTTTTAATAGGGAAGGCCACATGCCAGCTGAAGGAGCAGAATATGAAGGTCCAAAATCTGTTTGCAAGGGGGCAATCAAAAAAACTCCCACCTTGTGGCTCGGCCTCTCCAAGATGCACCAACTCAAGTAAATTCACAAATGACGGATGCCTACCTTGTTTCAAGGAAAGATAAAATTATGGATACCTCCTGTGTTGATGCTCTTAAGACTGAGTTCCCATAGGAAAAGCTTTACCCTTTTTAGGGTACCTACCAGGTCATATGCTTCTGCATATGACTGGCATGAAGAAGCACCCTTGTTTACCAAAGTTGTCTAGAGAGACCTAGTGGAGAAAGATCCTAACACACCCGGAAGACACATCCAACCATAAGGTGATCCAAGGAAAGTAGATTGGCCAGGGAGGCCCACTCTTGATTTAGGATTGTTCGCTGGCAAAATTCCAAGTCATGTTAAGCAAAGGTTTGCATAAGAGGTAATGATAACTGATGGAGTAATCATCAGAAGTTGGACCTGATTGTGTTCATGAATCATGATGGACAAGCATCAAATGATA